CAACGTAATCTACTGAGGTCACCCACTTGCTCCATTGGGTGACTGCGGTCATCTTAAACTGTGCCTCACCTCAGCGCTGCTCGTCCAGTTTACCCGCCAGACTCGTGCAATTGTGCGTAGACAGCGGTGTTGAAACACCGACAACCTATTTTTGTCCAGTTTTCTTAATGGCTAAGTTTCTGCGTTGACTAACAGTACTGGATGAACTGCTGCAGCGTGCTGTCGACCCTTCACGGATGGCTAGATGTCTCGGAGGCGCAACAGATATCACAAGTTTTCAAATACCAATCGAAAGCTAACAGTTCATCCATGATGCGTCCGCCGGTTGAGATATAGCTGCTCAAATAACAAAACTTGTCCATTTACTCTATTACTTGGGTAATTGAGAAGGATCCTTGTACAACTCATCTCTGATTTCATGTGTGCTTCAGTCGGTCAGTTTGTAGACTGATGCGACGAATAAGCATCGACACTTCGTTCTGCAGCTGGTGACCCGTGCTGAATCGTTGTGAATCGGACAGTCGTCTGCTGACTGGAATACAGTCAAGAAGCGAGCGGCCGGCTTTGGCACTTGGCGCAATCCCAGCACTAGCAACACCGCGAGATTCGGATGCTGAAGCGCATGATACACGGAAAGTGAAGCGTGAGAACGAGGTCGAATCTAGAGGTCGCAAGGTGATGGCTGATGTAGGGTCTTGTATGCGTGTTTCGGAAACACAATGTACATCTAACTTGAAAGTTTCAAGTGTTCCAGCTAAGGCAACTTGTTTATCGATCTGATGGAGTGTGCGGACAATAAATGCGGCCAAGTGAAACGAAATTTTGGCTTTAAAAGTTCTATAACTTCTGATCGTTTGGCATTACTGGTAAAACGCTGGATGATATCCGATGGGTGTCGTAAACAGGAGACATCTGGGATTATTCGGAATTGAGTGAAAGAACTGGACAGATGGGAAAGGGTTTTTCCAAATAGATACCTAAGACTTTGGGCGCGACATACTTTACGGCTGCTGGCCCTGTGAGACTGGTAGTAAGGGAGAGATGATTTATCGGTGTAGTATACACTCTTGTACAATTCGACAGCAATGTGGCCCTGAGTTATCATCCGAAGAAGGAAGTGGTTCGTTCAGAACTGCGCGGCAATCGGGCCTGATATTATATCCTGTCACGATTACAAGTTCGCGCCTTCCGTCGATACAAACTGATCCAGATGGGAAGCAGTTGTTCTCCACTATGGCAAGCTGAATTCATTCCATGTTGTCACTTATCTTCATTATCATCTTATTATTGTGCTTCAGTTATTTTCGCCGTCCTCAAAATGGGGAATACGGCGTTCTCTTAGTCTTTATCTTTCTCACACTGTCGTAATTAGCTGACCCCGACCCTGTCGAAGATCAATTTAACATCCTCTCACGGTCGAACGATTTTATGGTGTTGCTGCTCCGACCACGGATGGATCGATAACACGTGTTTCTAGCCCTTGTTCCTATTTACCTGACGGGAATACCCCCAGCCGCTCAAATGACTGTATCGAATAGCATCTGCCGTACCATATGGCATTTCAATGGCATCTGGAACTTCCATTGCGCAGGCGCGCATATCCGCATTCGGCAATGAGAATTTTTGTTCGTACACGTTCTACTAGAAATCTATCCTAAATGTGCATGCTCGATCCATATTCTAGTCAAAGTTTGTCCATTCAACGTGAAGAATTTTCAACGTGCTCTTCCAAATCCGTTTGTTGAGATCAACCCCAAATCGCTTGGCTCTAACTATGCTTTATCGCAATCGTTTACTTAGATCGCTTGTTGGAATACTCGTCGAACTCCTCCGTTACATCTCTTGAAGAAATCAACAACAAAAAGGGTGGGTACAGGTGGGTAATTCCTTGGTGAAAAACTGTCTGAGTTGTGTGACCCGGTAATCTCATCTTTGGGGTTTTCGTATCATATACGTTGCAGATCGATGACTAGAGATCTGTTGCCGCTAACGGAATAGGAGTGTTATGGTTACTTTGTTTGATTTATCATAATCGTCATCGTACAGTGATGCTTTGCTGATCACACCCAAACTCATAATGTATACAAGGAAAGTGAGAATGAGTAAGGTGGATAGAGATTGAGCTTATTTTGGTGACAGGGAAAGAAAGCAAACCTCTATTGTCAATAAACATACACAATACATACTACTTTTTCGATTCGCGTCATCACCAGTGCAACTCAGGTTCTAATTTTTGATGTATTATGTTGCAATCCTCGCGAATCTTTCTATCGAAACATTCCAATCAATGTTGTTCATCTATAATATGAGTACCCCAATGAATGCATACCCAATACTGACGCTTGCTTACTCTGTACTTTCGTACAGTCGCTTGTCAGTTATCGGCGAACCCACAGCTCGTTCAATTCCATCATGCTTCATGCCTCCGTAATCTAAGAGCAAGGACTAGTTTTTATATTTTTCATCCACTTTTCTTCTTTGTTCACTAAATTACTGCACTATGAATACATCATCAGTAATCGGTAATGCAAATACTTCACGCGTAACTGATTGTTTCTTCATGGTTTTCCATCCAGCGGTACCTTACTTCATACACCTCGTCCACAACAGTCCATTGGGTAAGGCAAAATTAGCCTTTGAATTTCGTGTGTTCTGGCATCAACACACCACGGGCAAGTTGCCTGAGTGTACTCGATACATCGATTTCAAACGTTCCAACGCACAGGCAATGAGTGCCGGGGCTGTGCCCAAAGGACCGGTACTTTCTGGGCCTCAGTGGGATAATCTGGCTTTGAGTCAATATGCTGTGCTATCCAAACTTGCAGAGATTGCTGTTTTTGAAGACGGTCGGTAAGTGCAAACCCGGGGACAATCCGGACCATAATTTTGTGTAATGCATATTCTATCGAGGGAGGGAGGGGGGAATCTGCTAGGTGTCGCCTTATTCTCTTTTCAGGGACAACCGAATAATTCAATTCACTTCTGTGTCAAAAAGATATCACTCATGGATCTCATCATATTCAGCATTTTTTGCACACATTTTCCATTTTTTTGTATCGATTATCCCAAATTCATTGTGGCGTTCATGATGGAAAGTGAAGAATGCCAGTTGAGTAGCATTGGGCTTTTGGTGATTAAAAACACGGTCGGAACTCAATCGCAGCCAATGACTTCCCCAACCCAGTCAGCTGTACGATTAATGACGGTAGTGCAATGAAGGAAGTGTTTGCAGTTTATACAGTTCATGCTCTAAAGCGTGGGTAAATGCCTGCAGACCATGTATGAATAAGTGCACGAAAAGATTAACCAGTATCTTTGAAACCTCCGGACTGAGATTCAAAAGGCTCTCTAATCTAGCTGTGTTCGAATTCACATGTGTTGTCGTGCGCACCGGTGATAGATTCTAACCAATACGAGTACACACACACATTTCTTCACAAATAATTAACCACTTGGTTAGAGATGTTAAACGACACGGCAGTGCACGGACACCTGTCGCGTTCTCGTTTTCATTGCACATTGGGCCAAACTGCTTAAAACTGGTTTTCGGTGTGGCGAAACTGTATACGGTGCGTGAGAAGCGTTTTTGCTCTTTTTGTCACCTCCCTCTCGCGAGTAGGCTGATTTCCAACTCCCTTCCTGTTTATTGTTCAATTATCGATTCGGCCTGCCACAGCTGGGACGAGGGGGNGGGGGGGGGGGCAGGAGGGGCTAATACATTCGCCTGAAGTTTGGAACGACACTCAAGAAATAGTTACTCGCAACAGGTGAATTAGATCTGTTTAAAATGTGAGCGTAGGTACACGAACAGCACTGTTTACGACACTCAGGTGTATCACACGATGTCTCGAACCGGTCATCCGGTTGACCACGTGGTCCACCGGGAAGTCTATTTGGTACGATCCATGTGATCGCGAACCCTAATCAGAATTTCTGTACCCTCATGTCAAGTCCTATTTCGGCGCCCTTTAGCTTTCTTCCACCTACTGCCTGCCTCGGCGAACATTACACACCCAGGAGACGTATCCGGTGAAATGTGTGACACATGCCCCAGTTACCGCCATCCATGGTGATCAGGCTTTGACGTGATCGCGATTACTCAAAACCCTATCTAGTGCAAATGAAATTTGAGCAAAGCGTTAATGTATCAATGCTCCAACGACTCAATGCAATCGAGGATGTTCGCCCTCAGTGAGCGGTAGTTATTCAGCAACATTTTCGCAATTTTCTTTTCACAATTCAGATCCCTGCCACATTCCGATTATTACTCCTCCATTAATTCGTGCCCATTGAAGTGTCAGTGTGTGATATCGTTTCGCAGATTTGGTGTCATCTTATATGTTATTACAACATGCTTCACTCTAATTTGGTGCCATGTTCGACGTTATTTTTCCGTTTTTTTATCGACAGGTGGACCGTGCATCCGGATGTTATTCGGCGATTCTCTCAGCGCCTAAATTCCTTCTGTGGTCTTTCTGATTCCAATGCATTACATCCAGATATGGACAATACTGCCATATCGACTTTCATGTTTCCGCCGTGGCAATTTCTTTCGGATGTGGCGAAAGTGACCCTTCGATCCAACCGGCTGTCCGCTGCCAAACGTCGCTCACTCGAAATTCCCACCAAGGAACCGGATGTGGATGGGCCATTGGTTGAGCCTGTTCCTGTGCACGATGATCGACTAGACAATTTGCCACATGTAATACTCCATTCCATCCAAGTTTCGGATTTGAATGACAAGCCTATTCTCGTGAATCGTGTCGAATCCAGTGCAGTATCTGTCGAAGCCTCGTCCATAGTTCCCGTTCAAGACGATGCTCCCGAGTCCGATCATGTATTTTCCTCGGTTACCCCAGGTCAGGGATCATCAAACCTGCCTACTTCAAAAGCCACGACGATGACGACGACACCGTCACGCAAAAGATTGACACTGGACAGTTTTTTCACGCCTCCCTCCTCAAAACGTTCGCATTCTGTGCCTGTCAAATCGTCGCCGGCTGTTGATGAGGTGATACTCATAGATGATTCACCGTAGACTGGATTTTTTCTGTGCTGTTGCATTCAAGACGCCGTCCGCACCCTGACAGACCACCGCATCATGTCGAGGAAGTGCCATTCGAGAAAATGCTCCCTCACCATTTGTATAGACTTTTGTAATCCTTTTGTATCCACCCTAATTTGAAACTCCTTGCTGTCCCGTTCAGGATTTGGAATTTCCGAGATCTATTATTTTTTTCACTATCCAGCCCTGTCCACTCTTTCTTGTCATGCGTGTAACAAGTACAATGCGTTACCAGTAGGCCGTTCGGCTTGAAGATATTGCTGTCTCTCTCTCCATCCGGGATGCGGAGTTTCTCCGTTTGTGGGTCTCAGATGCTTGTAGAAAATGACTTGGCAGAGAGAAAAAGCACTACAGGTAATACTCTTCGTAAAACAGAACAAGGTTTTTGCGGAAACCGCCTTAACTTTTTCAGGTGATTTCCCCAAATTGGTTTCGTGTGCGATTGAATAACTCAATCCAACGGATTTCCCCAAACCCATTTGTGTTTCACCGGGGGTCGTGGTTCACGTTCAGATGTTCCGTTTGATTTGGTGTGCTGAATTTCACTGATTCCGTTGCGAGCACCGTCGGTCTTGGAAACATGTGTAATTTTCGACTTTGTTCTGTATACAGGATAAGAATGTCGGTTTGCGTTGTACACCGTCTAGTCACTTCTATTTGGTGTATTGGTCTGTACTACGCGATGCCCTTCATTTTCAGCAACTCAATGTGGTTGGGTGGACCTTTTACGATTTGCTTCAGAATGTGAATTCTTGTGCTCTGACCCTTTCAAAGCCTATCAAATTGGATGTTGCGTAGCTCGTCCGTACCACACGTTTCTCTCTCTCGCAGTGCTTCAGCTTACGTTTACGAGACCTGATCATTTTCACTGAGGATGCTGATCACCGTGTCCTTCGAGACATGGCTCTTGTCTCGTGGGAACACTGGGCCAATCGATGACGTGGATCCCGATCGTGTGTTGGGTGCTGATTGCCTTTCTCGGAAAGTAGAAATCAATCTAAACGGCCTCCGATTATTCAGTCGTATTTTGCCCATACCTGTCTTTCACGTATTTATTTGGGCTGTGTTCGTACGTACTCGACAAGGCTGAAAGAATCGAAGTGACAGTCGGACAATGACCTTTATTTATTTTCACTCCCGTTCATTAATCACAAAATGATACAATTTTCATGAGGAGGGACGTGAACCGTCAAAGTGCTATCATACAACGCTTAATGTCGATAGTCAGGCGGTGGTTGTGGGATTCGAACACTGAGTTGATAATTTATTGACCTTTACTTCCGGAGCCACCACAGCCCGACCCCAGGGTGTGAATAACTTATCTTCGGCATTGTTTTCGGTGTGTACTGCCCCCATCCATGATGGTGTTCAAGGAATAATTACTCGTTGTTTAGAGGGCCTGAAGGTGTGCGTCCAAAAACTATCTTTCCGTTTTCTTTGTCGATGCCATACTTGACCGAAATCGAAAGGGGAAAACTTCTCTTGATTCATCGATCAGACCCGTAATCACGGAAGCATACTG